CAGCACCTCGTGCATATTTTCAGCAGCAGAAATCTGGCAGTTAGATTTTTGACAGCACCAAATCACCATGGGCAAACACTTTCGTACATTTGCAGACCAAGAGAGTCATAATGGTCTGTTATGTCAATTATCTGCCACTCAGAATACGGCTACAATTTACAGCCTGTGTATTTTCTTTTAAGAGACAGGCTGCAAAACTATGTTTACCATCAAACTAAATGAAATTATTGCTGTTGCAATCCCTTCCATTAGGAGAGAAAGGAAATTGTTCTGTGGGATTGTTTTCCCCTATCATTGATAAGGAAAGGAAAGCTTCATTACTGTGTTCTAAAAATCTAGGTTTCATTTTTCTTAACAGAAAGGGATGTTGTCTATTCTACACCATTGGAATATATTATAGTATAAGTTGGATAAAGCTGCAATAAGGTGCCATTTGACTCCATTACTCTAATTATTAGAGTAAATGAGAACTCTGTTCCATTTTATTGTTTCCCAGACTGCAGAACAGGGCCTATTTGCAAATCTCCAGGCTACCAACAGTATATTTTCACTTATATGACATAAGAAAGGAAGAAGTTTTCAAGTGGATGGGGAAGTTCTGTGGGGGACATCAAAACCAAAGGAGGAGGTCCCCTATTCCTGCTCTAAGAGGTCCTTAGGTTTGGTAGAACATTGCATATGGTTCTACCAAACCTGAGAATCATTACATTCTAAGGAAACTGGGATAAGTGCTTCTTCAGAAATTCTCTATCTAATGAGATTTTCTTTTACTTTCAAGAAAATACAAATATCTAAAACAGCTAATTGAGAATTGATCCTGTTTGTGTGTTTATGATGCCATAATTTGGCTAAATAAATGATGTTCCAGACAATGGAAGTTCCAATGTATTATTCAAATATCTAAAGCAGTGGTTCTTAACCTGTGGGCTGTGGATCATCAGTGAGCTGTGAGGATGGAAATCCGGTCTGTGAGCCTCCTTCCTCTTTATTTAATTTACTAGCTGCCCCCTGCCACGCATTGCTGTGGCCCACTCTGATGGTCATGGGGGTTCTGTGTGGGTGGTTTGGCCCAATTCTATCGTTGGTGGGGTTCAAAATGCTCTGTGATTGTAGGTGAACTACAAATCCCAACAAATACAACTCCCAAATGTCAAGGTCTATTTCCCCCAAACTCCATCTGTGTTCATATTTGGGCATATGGAATATTCGTGCCAAGTTTGGTCCAGATCCATCATTGTTTGAGTCCACAATGCTTTCTAGATGTAGGTGAACTACAACTCCCAAACTCAAGGTCAATGCCCACCAAACCCTTCCAGTATTTTCTGTTGGTTATGGGAGTCCTGTGAGCCACGTTTGGCCCAATTCTATCATTGGTGGAGTTCAGAATGCTCTTTGATTGTAAGTGAACTATAAATCCCAGCAACTACAACTCCGAAATGACAAAATTATTTTTTGAGTGAAGGACATACATTGTGATGTTAGGTGTCTTGTTTCCAAATTTGGTGTCAATTCGTCCAGTGGTTTTTGAGTTATATTAATCCCACAAATGAACATTACATTTTTATTTATATAGATTTTATTTATTTTATTTTTTCTCCTTTCATGCCACCTGTCACTCCTTCCCTGTCACTGACCATGGCATATGTTCTGTATCAGAAACAAGAGCTGATGTGGTCTATCCAATACAATTTTCTGAATCGGCACCCCAAAATAACCTAACCGAATCTAAAGTTGACCAAAAACTGATTTGTAACCCCTTTGATACTAATGCTGGAGAGTGGTCCCTGGTCAAAAAAAGGTTGGGAACCACTGATCTACTACATAACAAATATTCATTATCTATTTGCCATAATATATGCGAATTACCTAAAGCTCTTTTAAGGAATGGTGCCACTGAAGTTAATTCTGACCATTTGGGATTGCTTATCATGAACAGACCATCTGTTAATGAAAATATTTCACTTAAAACTGAGACCACAAGGGAAGAATATGATTCTAGATGGTGGGAAGAGAAGAGAAGAGAATGCTGCTGATGCTATGGCAAACAAAGCACTATGAAAATAGAGGAGTACATTTGACAAATTGTATTGTTAGGGTTGTGGAAGATATAAGAGAAGAAGATTTATAAGGGGATCGGGCTCTTTAAAAAAGTAAAGGAAGGTTTGAAATCTTTTCAGAGTCCAAAAATTCAAAGAGACTTCTAAATTTCCAGTATGTCATGACCCATCTAACTAAGCAGGATTGACCATGAAGAGATGAGACATTATATATTATTAACCCTTGGCACAAATTTGGCAAGTGTGCTGTTTGCAGTAAGCTAGGGGTGGGAGGAAATATCTTTAATCGATTTCTTTGAAATGTGCTGCTTGAGAAGCATACAATAGATACCATGGACTGCTAAAAAGACAAATTAGTGGGCCCCAGTGCAAATCAAACTTGAATTCTCCCTAGAAGCCAAGATGAGTAAGCTGAGACTGTCATATTTCCAACATGTCATGAGAAAATGTGATTCACTCGAAAAGACAATAATACTTGGTAAGTTAGAGTAGAAAGCAGTAGGAATAGAGGAAGGCAGGATTCCAGGTGGATAGACTCAATCAAGGAAGCCTCAGCCCGGAGTCTGAAAGACCTGAACAGAGCTATTGATGGTAGGATGACTTGGAGGTCTTTTATTCATGGGGTTGCCATAAATCAAAGTTGACTTGATGACAGTTAACAACAACCAACCATTAAACTACTAATCACAAGGATTCTACAGGTTCTTGCCGTGTGTGCATGTGACTGCAACTCATCTGTCAACTTAGGCTGACCCCATTGATTTCATTGGGTTTTATTAGGCAAGGAATAAATTCAGAAGTAGTTTTTCCAATACCTTCCCCTGAAATACAACTTACAGCACCTGATATTTGTTGTTGGCCTCCCATTTAAATATTCACCAGGAATGATCCTATTTAGTATCCGAGAACATACAGGAGCTGATGCCTTTAAAGTGTAGCAAGGACAAATTCTATTGGTTTCCATTGAAGGATGTCTATTTCTCAGTTTAAAACTCAGTGTTATTGATTTTATAGAAAATAATATTACAATGGAATGCCAGAAATTGTGCTCTGCCAAGGTAGTATTTATTTCAGGGGTGGACAGCTGCTAAAGATTGAGGGTATTGTATGGGCTTTATACAAGGAAGGGTGGACTCTCCCCCTTGGAATGTTATGTTTTCCATTAAATCCCACTCTAAGTGGGAGAACATTATATTTTCTCTATTCCCCACCAACTTGTACAGCAAGTATTTCCCCTTTTGTAAGGTTGGGTTAAGTGGTTGTTGACTTGCATGCTTCATTATTGTAACCCAAGGTTGCTAAATGATTTGTTTTTCTTTTGAGTTGCTTAAAGGTATAAACAAATACATGTTCCAAGTACTTCTACATAGGATCCTGTGAAAGATAGCATTTGTGTAGTGCCTTCCATATGCAAGGTTGTTTTTTTTTTATTTATGTGATTGGTCACAGGTCGGATATCTCTGTTTCAAAGCCTGACCTAAGCAGCCTTCATTTTTTGGATCAGCTATTCCAATGGCAAACCATTACATGAAGGTTGAGCCAAAAGAGTTACAGCTTTCCTTCCTTGATGCAAGCCTTCAGTTCAAGGACTGCTATTTGCTGTATGAAAGATAGACCTCCCTATGACACAGTTCTTTCTTTCCTTCTTTTTTAAAAAATAATCTTTATTGCATATTTTCCATATTAGATAAAATAGACAGCCAAAAATACTTGTGCTAGAAAAAATAAAAGAGATAACAACAACAACAACCCCGCCTCCATTTCCCCAAAAGGACTCGGGGCAGCTAACATGGGGCTCTATGGCCATGTTTCAGAAGATGTTTTGGCTTGGTAAACAGCTGGTAAACTGACTGGAATTTCTGGGAGTTGTAGGACAAAACACCTGGGGACCCACAGGTTGAGAACCACTGATCTAGGTCATATGCATCCAACTTTAAGGCCTGCAGGACAAATCCAGCACACCATGACATTTTATGTGGCCATCCAGATGCTGGATCACAACTCCTGTATTCCTCATTGTTAGATGTCATGACTAGAGCTGATGGGAATGCCATTTGTTATGTTTAGTCAGCATAGTAGCATTTCAATTTGGACACAAGGCTTGTGGATGTGAAGTCTGGCATTAAAATGTTCTTTAGCCTTTCCCCAACCTCAGAGTCACAAGTGCTGTTGGGTTGCAAATCCCATTATCCCCAGTCCACATGGTAGGAGCTGTCATCCAGTAACACCTGGGGACCAAAACTGGGGAAAAACTAAAGAGCGTGTTATGATTCCACTATAACTGTTATGATTCCTAAGGAAGCCTGAAATGTGATGTTTAGAGAATAATCTTTAAACTTTCATAAAGATACCAGGTTGCTGTAAGTTTTTTGGGCTCTATGGCCATGTTTCAGAAGAATTCTTTCTTGACGTTTCACCTGCATCTATGGCAGGCATCCTCAGAGGTTGTGACCTCATAACCTCTGAGGATGCCTGCCATAGATGCAAGCAAAACGTCAGAAGAGAATGCTTCTGGAACATGGCCATACAGTCCAAAAAACTTACAGCAACCCAGTGGTTCTGGCCATGAAAGCCAAAACAATACATTTTCACAGAGATAGCTGTCTTGCCCCAGCAAACCCCACAATCCTATAGGTAAAGTCAAATCATAGTGCTTATAACTGTATAATGTGAAAGGGTCACAGAGGTGGAAATAATGTGTCCCTCCAAATATTTTCAGAGTATCCCTCACCACTTACTAAGGCTAAAGGGATGCAATCTAGCCATATATGGATGGCCACATGATTTAGATCTTAATCTAGACTGTAAAAGAAAAACAGAGCTAATGCTGAGAGCTGAAATATTCCCTCACCCCATCTTCCTTGTGTCAGAAAAACCAAATCATCTATAATTCTGCAGTAAATGACAGTCTATAACTCACGGTATATGTGCTTGCATTTACAGGGCATACATTGTAACAGACTTCATGGGCATCAGGAATGAAAGTTTTATGAAGGTAGCAGCAGTGGGGACTTGGATGGGAGACTTTGTCACGGCTTGGATGGTAAGAGGATTTCTTCATTTTCTTTCATTAAAAAAAAAACCCAAATTGAATGAGAAAAGTCTAATTGGTCGTTGAAATCCAAAATAGCCTGAAGGCCTGGAAAAACACAATTCCGGCCACTTCCAGATAGCACCAAAATGCAGGATTAATACGCAGGATAAACCCTGGACTTCAGAGCAGGTCTCCACTCAGACCTGCTGGTCCCAGGTTTTCTTTCCCTGCTGTCTTTCACGGCCCTTCTGTGTCTCAGGATAAAATAGAGGGCAGATAGGGGACATTTGCAGAGAGTTTTTTTTTTTTAAAAAAATGGTGTACAGTATCAGTCGAAAGGCCCCAGGTTCTCTAACTCTGCTTTAGCTCAGATGCTGTAGAAACTTCAAAGTTGTCATCTCAGTCCCATTTTCCTTCTTTGCCTCTATGGCATTTTTCTCTGAATGTATTTTATCAGTTTTGTTAGGTGTTTTGAGCTGTGAAAAGTCAGCATAAAAATAATGTAAATAAGTAAATATGTAAAATGTGTGCCATGCCTTTATTGCATTCAGCAACCTACTTTTGAAAATATTATCAGATATAGTTTTTTATACCACAGAAGTAATGTTTGTCTCTTACTAAAAATTCTTTCTTCATACAATGTATGCTTCTGACTGACCTTTGAGGTTATCATTCCCCTCATATTAAAATATAAACAGATTTTTATTAAAAAAAATAAACATCTTTGCTGCAAAAATTCTCCCAGAATTCAGTGAGATTTCCCCCTAGTAATATATATTTATGACTGCAGCCATAATTGATTAATGGCGGGGACAACTAAATCTTGTAAGATTAATCAATTAAGATTTCTTTAACCGAATGACAATGCTAAAAGAAAAACCCAATTTGAGTAAATACACATGGTCATTTAATCAGAGCAGAAATTCCTCTGGGAAATTTAGTATGTAATCCAGGGCATAAATGGGAAGAGAGATAATGAGTTGTTGGCCTGCTGCTACAAAAAGTAACATTCATATTTATGAGAAAGTTCCATTTGCTTTAGTAAGTACAGCTTCTAAAGGGGGTGTGGACTGTCTTTTTTTTTTAAAAAAAAAAATACTTTAGATCAGAATAGACTAAATAATGTGTATTTACTGTATTTCATTGTTCTAAATAGAAGTTGTGTATTCCGTGTTCAAAATGTTCTGGATCCCCCCCCCCCCCGCGCGATTTTGCAATACCTGCATTTTTATAAAGGTAAAGGTAAAGTTTTCCCCTTAACATTAAGTCTAATAGTGTCTGACTTTGGGGGTTGGTGCTCATCTCAATTTCCAAGCCAAAGAGCCAGCATTGTCCATAGACACATCCAAGCTCATGTGGCCAGCATGACTGCATGGAGAACTGTTATCTTCCCGCAGAAGTGGTACCTATTGATCTACCCACATTTGCATGTTTTCAAACTGCTAGGTTGGCAGAAGCTGGGCCTAACAGCGGGAGCTCACCACACTGCCCAACTTCGAACTGCCAACCTTTCAATCAGCAAATTCAGCAACTCAGTGGTTTAACCAGCTGCACTACCAGTAATGAGATATCTTGGAGATGGGATCCAAGTCTAAACTAAAAAATCACTTATGTTTCATACACATCTCATAGACCTAGCCCCGGGGACAATTTTTGTAATAATTGTGAGCATGAAGCAAAATGTGTATACACTGAACTATCAGAAAGCAAATGTGTCACTATCTCAGCTGCCCATGGGAACAATTTTAGATTTAGAGGGTTTTGGATTTTGGAATTCCAGATAAGGATAATCAACTTGTGTGTCACCTGTATCCTATTTATTTGACCCAGAATCTGGATAAACATGGCATTTATGCTAATTTTCTTTTTAAGCCATTTGTGGTAGGCAAAGTTCTACAACTACAGCTCTCACACACCCCTCAGCTAAAATGAGCTTGGACTTAAAAAAATTATGTTTTTCAGATTTGCTTGCAGTAAACTTCCAACATTGGCAAGAAAAACAGAAAAAGAAAAATAGCTCGAATGATATGTTTTCTTTAACTTTGCAGTCTGCAGCTATATGTCAGTGGCATGTCCAGAACAAAATACATTACTTTGATTTGGTGACTCTGAAAAGCAAGTAGCCAGCAAATCATCCATTTGGGCAGATTTAGACTAAGAAATATAGCATTTCTTCATGGAGGGATGTTGGCATCTCGCATAGTTGTTTGCCAAACCATTCATCATCATAGTTGCAGCTGAATCATTTGTATGTGGTCTTTTAATGATTTCTGATCTCTAGACTTTGCATGAAGAAAACGGTTGCATGATTTAATATTTACTAAAGGAAAACAAGTGTGTTTATCATTCAACCATCACAGATTTTGGACAAATATTTAGTTGTCATTGAAAGTGGATCAGGCAATGCTGCCTACTGATTAGTAAATAACTAATCAAATGTCAGTGGCAAACATTGCTGTTTTATTATGCAGTTAATTCAGTCTGAGAAAAGTGGTCCCAAGTACTACTGTTATGGTCCTCCTGATTGAATTTGAAGAATTAGATATCTGTATATACCACCTAAGAAATCAAAGCTAGGACTGCCCTCATTGAAACACATGGGATGAAGCCATCATAGAATCGTAAAAGACTCCAAGAGCCATGTAGAATGAATCTTTGCCAATCCATGCAAAAAACAAAAATCACTTCCTAACCATGCAAAATTACTATGGACTTTTGCAGGTTAGTAATTAGATACTGCTATTAAAACTATGCGCAACAATAAAAATGCTTATAGTATATGAATATGTTTGCCAAAATAGAATAAATATTTTACCCTGGCAAATTAGAATTCTGGATCAAAATGACAATGAGCTCAAGTGTACCTTATCATAAGATTGTTTTAATTATTCATAATATAATACTGGCAGGATTATAAGATTGTGTCTGTCTTTAATGCCCTTCAAAGAGATTAAGTGAAGAACCTGGTGCATTTTAAACCATGAAGCCACAAATGCATCCAACTTCTTTTTAATCTGACTGCCAGAGTTATGCCTCAAGTGAATATAAAAGTCTTTTAGTCTACAGATCCATCATTTCTCACTTTTTGAATGTAATGACGAAGTCAGTTTGATAAATTAACCATCATAGCTAAAAACTAAATCACTGCTGACATTAACTCCATTAATATAATTTGGTGTAAATATTGGAGAGATGTTGGCACTTGCAATTTTGATTGGAAAATTCTCACTGCATAGTATTCAGAAAATAATTCTTACTACTGTATGTATCCCTAGAGCATATCTTGATAATGGTGTACATTCCACAGTAACACTTACTACATCATCACATTGATCTTCACCTCCATCCTTGGATGCTTGTAGGACATAGCCCAACAGAGCCCATCACATGACACATGGCTACTTCTGGCAGGGCTCAGTCCTGGCTTCCTCCTGGAAGCATAGTAGGATGGAGCCAAGAGAACACGGGAGGCTTCCCGTGTTTTCATAAGAAAATTTATTTCTTTATTTATTGCATTTATATACTACTTGTCTCACCCCTGGGGAGACTCAAAGCAGTTCACAAAATAATCAATGGTAAGATTCAATGGCGCATATGCATAAAAATATAACATACCAATAAGGAGACACTTAATGCAAGATAATGCAAAATTACTGTATTTTACAAACACTCTGGTTTTTAATTGAAAGCATTGTTTCTTCTCTTTCTTTCCCAGTTTCTTTGGCATCTCCTGTGGCTTTGTTCCTCTAGATCAAGCATGGGCCAACTTCGGCCCTCTGAATGTTTTGGACTCCAACTCCCACAACTCTTAAGAGCATACTGGCTGTTAGGAATGGTGGGAGCTGAAGTCCAAAACACCCAGAGGGAAGGCCATAGAAGCTGGCCCATACCTGTGTTAGAGGCCTTGCGAGGGGTTTCATCTAAGTACCCTTAGATGAATAATTTAACAATTTTTCTTTTCACTACAAGAAAAGCATTTCAGAATTTATTTGCAAGGAAACTTCTTTGCATCCAAAAGCATTTTATTCTGTATGAAAAAAATGTTTTCTGTGTGAATAATAATTGTTTTCTGTAGAGAACTATGCAGAACTATGACCAAAATACTTTTTGTTTCCCACAGAGAATAAGTTCCAAAGTCATCCATCAGGGCTATCCATCCCCCAAGAAACCATCTTTACTTCTGGGTTTTAAACATTTTCTCAATCCGTATTGATTGTCCCTTGCTCCAGTTTCTGCATGTTCCTATATTATACTCTATTATTTTGTGATTTATGTGATATGTTACTTCCTGACCATACAAGCTGTTCAGCAGTGGAACTCTGCCTCGGAGTGTAGTTGAAGCTCCTTCCTTGGAGGCTTTTAAACAGAGGTTGGATGGCCATCTGTTGGTGGTGCTTTGATTGTGCTTTTCCTGCATCGCAGGAGGTCAAACTAGATGGCCCATGTGGTCTATTCCAACCATGTTATTCTCTTATTCTGTGTATCTGTGTCTTCACTTGTCCCATCCTTGTGGATGACAATGAGAAACCACATAATGACTTTCCTTCAGAATGAAGGGAAAATACAGGATTTTATGCAGACATTTTTGCAAAGATGACAGAAACCTCAACAGAAAGCAAAGCTCTCTTGGTTTCATTTATATCCGGATGGTGAAAACTGTCAATTTTGTGGCAAGGGTGGCAGTTTCTTGGCAGATATTTGGACATGTTGATATTCTCTTTCTTGCCAAGAGCAAGACTTGTTGTGAATATTTTTACATGAGTAGTGTAAGCTGCATGTTCCATTATTGTTTTTGAACAAGAAAAGTCTATATATGAATGTCCTTCCTCTTAGCGTCTCAGTATCCAAGGCTCTGAACTTTAGTTATGCAGTAAGACTCTAGGTGGAAATAAAAGGTGACCATATAATGTACTGTTGAAATATGGAGTTGGATGAAAGCCTCATGCCTGCTTCAGATGACATATAGGTCATGAAAAAATAGGTATTCATGGACGGTCCCAGGAAATGTT